TTGAAGAATCAGTGCGAAGTTTTCATCAAAGCTAACATTTGTGTTGATAATTGTTTGAGAATTTACCGAAACTTGAAGCCAGCTGGCAGTACGTCAGTAGTCAGTCTCGCTTGGAAATTCATCCTGCGGCACTTTCATGAACTCAAAGACTCCCAAGACCTCCTGGATCTCGATTTCAACGACTTGAAATCTTTAATTGAAGATGGCACACTGTGTACTAAATCTGAGGACAGTGTTATCAGGCTTATACTGAACTGGACTTCTTATAACTCTAGTGAAGATGATGGTTCTAACCAACACTGCGACAGGGCTTCGAGAGAGGAAGTAATGTCGGTGTCAGACGACAGTGATGATGGTGTGGCGAGTCACGTGAATGAATCACTTCAAACGACACATCTCAACAGCGTTAAAGAGAGTCAAGTTGCAAAGATGGATGCTCAGATTCAAACAGATTGCCTGACAAGCGGATCGCTGAGGGTTTCTGCAAGGTTTTGCCCCCGCGCTAAATTTTTGCATGAACTGTTGACGTTGTGCCGTCTGCACTTGGTAAGTAACAGCTGTTTGGCGCAGTTACTGGATGAGAGCTGTCTGATCCAGCAAGTAGCAGAAGCTAAGACGTTAGTCATGAAGCTCCTAGGGTGGAAACTGAAAGGTGTTGGGGCGTGCAACCCTTGCTCCATTTGGTCACTCCGTAGACAGAGTGAAACGACTGAAAATGTTGTCATCTGGTTTGAAATGTCTGAAGGTGTAGCTCCCCCCACAACCGCCGCAGAAAGCGGCGGCGGTTTTTCGTTCGGTAGCTGCAGTGGTTTTTCGTTCGGTAGCTGCAGTGGAAGAGGAAATACCCCAACAAATCCTCCACCTCCAACTTCGTCTGTAGCGTTCGGTTTCACTTTACCAACTTCACTTTCTAAAAGTAACATGCGATGTGTGCAACTAAATCGAAATTACCTCCCTTGGACCAAGAAAACTGTCGACTTCACTCCCTGTGCGACTGCTGTTTGGAACGACCAAGTGTTTGTTTTGCCAAAACAAGATCTGGATGGGATTTTTATCTGTTCCTTGCTTACTGACTCAAATTTTACTCGGATTGGGTTCAACAATAAATTTGTGAAAGGGTCCAATGTGGCAATGGCAGTTGTTGGTAATCGCCTGTATGTTGTGGGCAATGACGTACTGTTATTGACTGAGAGTAAGAGGGATGTTCATTTGGGGTCAGCGCACATCACCACGATGCCGTCGCATCTTTATTTCCCGGACACACAGGTGACCAATATCACCGTGGCTACAGTAGGATCAAATATCATAATCTTCGGTCGTGAGAGTGGAAATGAGCAAACTGACGTCACAGTGGTCCAGTGTATCGACACGCACCTCGATGTGGGATACCGTCTGAGTGATATACAGGCTAACCCCCAGGGCATGACAGTATTTCAAACGTATGACGAGACCTTTGTCTTGTTTCGCTCTGGGGCTCTTTGGAAACTTAAAGAAAACCATGAGACAGGGCACGTCAAAGCCCGTTTCGTCTCGCTGTTGTGGGACTATGACCGAGCGCTTTGTGGAGCGACATTAGTAAAAGGAGAACTCTGGCTTTTCACTGAGGAACTACATGATGATACATGTACTGTCACAGTGGAAGGTGTGTTCACAAAAGTCAAGAGCGTACAGGCAAAAGGGGGCTTTTTTATGAATGCAGTTGCGCCAAACACAAATCGCAGTAGTTCTCTATTTTGAGAGAGGTACATCTATGTGACACATTGTGGTTCACATTTGAACGTCATTGTTAGGGGGTGGGACTTTGACTCCCAAATTTGATTGATGAGACTGATTGCACGCGAATTTTAAGCCTGTCAAAGACTTCTGTTTCCTGTAATGATTTTATTCAGAAAAATTACAACACGTAGAGTGGAGCCTTCACATTATAAGAGGAACACCCATAGATCTTTAACTTCCATTTTGAATAAATGTATCGCTCATTGAGTTCCACACTTTCATATTTGTAACTGGAAGACGTGAACTTGAGTATAAGGACTTTAAACTGTTGACGCTTGTGTTTTTACATTCGCTTTGACTTTACTCAAACAATTTATTTCTCAACATGTTGCTGATTTCTATGCACATCACACACACACACACACACACACACAC